ACTTGTGTGACCTTGGAAAAGGCCCTTTGCCTCCCTGTGCCCTAATTATTGGGGGAAAAAAAGGAGGCTAGTTGCTTCTGAAGACATTGCCAGTTCTAGATCTATGATTTTGGGGTCAGCGCTTTGGAGCCCAATACCACAGTTTGCCTAGCTATTCCCTAAATGATGAATGAGATGTTTATTTTTACCAGCCAGCCTGGGACATGTTGAAAACAAAAGATACTTTAACAAAAAAAAAAGGTAAAAAGAAAATATTCCCTTATGCACACAGGGGGTGTGTGTGTGTGTGTGTGTGTGTGTGTGTGTGTGTGTATGCATGCATGTGTATGTATATGTGTGGTGTGGGAAGATGGGGTATATTCTCCCACAAATTACTACATGACCACTGGGAAGGATTCTCATGCAGAGAACATATGTGGCCCAAAAATATTTATGGAGGTTATATACTTAGGGAGCACACATGGCTCAAGTAATTTATACCTCTAATGCTGGAAGTTTGTCGATATCAAGTGGTGATGTTGCCATGCTATTCTTTATGGCTCTTTGATAGGCTCTCTTTTGCATTACCTCTGTTGGGCATCTCCACTAATTTTATGGTCATCAAGCTGCTCTCTACTACCATCTGCTGGACCTCTCTGCTCCTGTCTGATGAGGTAGAAAGCTACTACATAGAGAGATCAGCCAATAAAAGCCAGCAGAACATCCCAGGGTAAGGGAAGTCCAGTCTTAACTTCTTTGTCTGGTGCTGATTTGAAGTTGTCCCAGACAACTTTCTGACTTAGGATTAGGAATTTCCTTATAACTTCTGTTATGTCCTTGATTATGAGCCTGTGTTCTCCACACCTGTTTTAGGAACTCTGTCCCCAAAAAACCCATAGGAGCTCTTCTGTTGTAGAGATGAAGCTTATCTCACTCCCCAAATCCACTTTGATTGGCATGAAAATGAAGTTAGATGTAGAGCACCTGGGCTGTATTCCTTCCTTTATTATGTGTTTTTACTAGCAATAAAAGCGCTGTATTCTGGCCACAGAAAAATCTCTCTGTCTCACTTACAAACATTAAAGTGCTATCAAAATAGTTATTTTTAGCTCGTTGACAATAATTAAGACACCAACTTACCTTAGCTTCTTGGAATAATGTTTCTACCTCTTTTCAACATTTCTTTGTTGAAAATATTTTTCATAACTTTAATTTTCTTTGTTCAACTCTGGACATTTTCCAGTTCCTCACTTCAGTTCACCAGTTCATTAAGTATCTCTCAATGCAAGGCAGTGATGAAAAATAATGTCGTCCCTGAGATTTCATTGGTGTAGATGCTTTTCCCATTGATGCAAATCACTGACTTTTCTAAACTTCAATAGGTGGTCTTCGAATGTGTCTGTGGACCAAAAATTCATCTTTGCAGCCAACTTAGTGATAAACCTCTTTATCGTTAGCAAGGCTTATCCTTGAATAACATTGTGTCACCTTGCTCATACTTGTAGACTTTCCAGCTTGGCTAGACCTGCTAGAGCTTGTACTGTGTTGAAAAGCATAGGGACCACAATAAAGTATGGGAAGGGAATTTTGGTGGAGGAGATCAGGTAGAAAATGGGATGGGAGGGGTCAAACAGACAGGGATCACTTGTTTGTAAGAAAGGGAGGAATAACTTCCTAGCTGAGGCAGTGGGGGTAGGTGGAGGGGGACTTCAAGGAAGAGAAGGCACTTATAAGCAGGATCATAAAATTTGAGCTGAAAGGGACTTTAGGTATTAGTCTATTCCCTTTATTTTGCCCACGAAGAAACTGAGGCCCAAAGAAGGGAAGTGACCTATCCAAGATCACATAGGCAGTAGGTAAAAGATCAGAGATTTGAACCCAGTTTTCTAATCCCAAATCTGTTTCATTTTCAACTACGTAATGCTGCTTCTTATACCAAAATGAGGAGATGTGGAGCGCATTCCAGCCCTGGGTGTAGGTCTGTGCTAATACACAATGTTCAGAAGAAAGTACTCAAAGGTATGGCTTGGAGAAGTAGATTGCAGCCAGGCTAGGGAAGTAGATTTTATCCTGTAGGTAACTGGGATCCTTTGAAGGTGTTGGAGCAGAGAAGTGACGTGATTAGCCCTGTGCATAAGGAAGATAACTTTGGCAGCTTCTGAAGGATAGATTGAAGGGGGACTAACTACACCCAGTTCATGAGTTGGTTATAGTAATCTAGGTGACAGCTAAAGAGAAGCTAAATTGCATTGTAACTAGATTGGAAGGGGATTGGTATTTAACAAATTATGTATAGTAATAATTATTGACGAGTGATTAGACATATTGATTCTCCTGTTGACTGGATGTTTTAAAAGGAATTAATAAGATGCATTGTATTCAGCAGATGACATCTGGCTGAATTTCAACTCTTGGAGATTTGTGTTCTTGACTTTTCCCCCTTGTACTTAATCAAACATAACTTGCATTTCACAGGCATTTTATGTTATTTTCTCAGCAGCCTCCATTTATAGAAAGAAAGGGAGGAGGGAAGGCAGGTCGGAGTGGTAGGAGTCAGCCTGATATAGTGGAAAGACCCTTCTTTCTGGATCTCAGTTTCTTTTATAAAACAAGGAGATTGGATTCTGTAATTCTGTGACTAAGTAATCTTTGAGATCCCTTCCAGCTCTAATATTCAGGGTTCCAAGATCCTTTTTAGCTTAGATATTTAGTTGTTTGTTTGTTTTCACTAAGTGAGGGTATGTAGCTTGTATAAGGCTCACTTGTAGAAAACCAAAGGAAGGGCAAGTTCCCTTCTGGGTCTCATTCCCCAAAATGAGGGCACTCACCTCTTTAAAACACAGGGAACCAGAGATCACAGTATTATAGATTTAGAGCTGGAAGGGATCTTAGAAGTCATTTAGTCTAATCTCTTCATTTTATGGATGAGTAACCTGAGCCCCAGGGCATGAATGAATGAGTGAGTGAAAAGGCATTTATTAAGTGTTTACTGTGTGCCTGGATAGTAGTATGTGCTGTAGAGCTTAAATGACTCGTCCAAGGTCATATGAATAACAAGTGGCTAGGATGGGATTCCTCTGTTCCCCTCCTGTCCCCTATCCCCCCATAACCCCAGTTATGTTGGCTTAGCTTTGTGTTTCCCCGTTTTTGGAGAAGTAGAACTATGTTCCATTTTACTTTGGGCTGGTTTTATGAGGCCCTGCCTGTGTGATAAGAAAAGCAGTCTTTGTGGTAGTATTGTCCTCCTGGGGTTTAATGTACAGCTTCTGGTGCCCTGACATGCAGAGGAATTCAGTCTTTTCCAAAGAGCCCTTTGTTAGCCTGTGGTTAAGCCATGAATGCTGAGTGGGTCTTGTGGTGGAGGTGCCCCTGCGTCATGATTGCTCTCAATAGCGGTGCCAGGGCCTCACACTGGAGCTTCAGTGCCTACCCTCTGTGGCACTGCCAGTGATTTCCAGATACAGGCGGAGTTTCCATTCAAGAACTGACTCAGAATCTTACTCTCTTGAGGGTGAATAGGCAGCAGGCCTAGGGCTGTGTAGGAAGGGCCATACCCTTTTTGAAATGAGCCCCAGGGTAAGGATCGCCAGAAGAGGTGAGGAAGGAGTGGGTAGCAAAGCGAATGCTTTTTCTGGTGATAGAATAAGCAAAAGTGGCAGTGGGGAAGTCATGGGAAAAACCTGAGGTTAGGGGTCAGGAGACCCTGCCACTGACTCATCATGTGAACCTTGGGCACACTTCCCATTTCTAGGACTTAGTTTCTCAATCCATAAAATCATAGAGTTAGACTTAAATGATATCCTAGGGCCTTTATAGCTCTAATTATCTATATTTTAACATTTAAGGACAGCCCATCTTTCTAAATTAATTTTACTTTACTTCTCCTCATGTGTATCAAATTCCAGCCATGTTGGTCTCTATTTACTATTCCCCACTCATGACCTTCCACATCCTTTGTACAAGACTGGTCTCCCATGCCTGGAAGTGTTCTCTCCCCTTTGTCCCTGGGAGCACTTTACTCCCTTGAAGTCTCAGTTCAAATACCACAACCTGCAGGAGGCCTTTTCTGATTCTCCCCACCAAAAACCAAAATTACTTTGTACTGATTTTGGATATGTTTTATATTTATTTATGTAGATGGTGTTTCCTGCAAGTAGAATATAAGCTCCTTGAGGGTGGGGACCATTTAATTCTTGGTTTTGCCTCAAAATACTGGCCACAGTGGCTGACACATAGGAAGCGCAGGTGCCTTCCAGCATTGACTTTCTGTGGGCAGAAGAGAACGGATGAAGGTCTTTTAGCAAGAGAGCAACATGTTCATTTGGGAGATTCCTGCAGTAGCATGTCCAGGATGGATTAGAGGGGTAGGGACTGGAAGCAGGGAGGAAGTTACAATAGATGATTTGAGAAATAATTAGGTAGGGCCTTCTCTAGGCTGGTGACTGTAGAGAGGAGATGGATATTAATTTATAGGAGGCAGGCTATGACAACTGACTAGATCTAGGGAGAGGGAAGAATCAGAGACATTGCTCCAATGTTGAGCCCGGGGCCAGTGAATGGAAAGATTTTTCTGGTTCATGGAAGTTGATTATTACATCAGTCAGAGATTTTAAGTCTTTTCAGGTTGCTGTTTTTTTTTGTTTTTTTTTTTTTTTAACAATGTTGTTAGGGTATAAATTGTTCTTTTGGTTGTGGTTACTTCATTCTGCATCAGTTACAAGTCTTCTCAGGTTTCTCTGAAACCTCTCCCTTCATTATTTCTAACAGTATAATAGTATTCTATAATATTAATATGCCATAATTTGTTTAATGATTTTCTAATTGATGGGCTTGACTTTGACTATTTGTTACAAGCTTTTTTTGTTCTGGTTTTTGGTTTTTTTTTTTAAGGGAGGGACAGGGCTGAGAGGGCAAGAAAATAAGTGGTTGTTAAATGAAAAAATATTAATTAAGAAAAAAGAAACTTAAACACATTGCTAACCCCTTGGGGCTTTATTTATCTTATTTTTTTTTCTCTCTAGCCCACCCTTTTTGTACTGATTGGCATGATACCATGGAAGGACAACACAGCCACGCACATCATCTTGGGGATCAGACCAGCAGCCTGTGCCATATGCCAGGGACAGAGTATCAGCCTGACCCCCAAGTAAGTATAATGGACTTCTCTGGGAGGGTTGGTGGGGGAAAGGAGTTCCTTTTTAAGGACATTTTCTGAACCACATCATTACAGCCATCTCTTCACTAAGCCACATTGCCTCTTTTCTTAGGGAACCACTTTCTTTTAAGTGAACAGAAAGTAGTATTTGCTCTATCCCAGCCCCCACCCTCTAGTGATTCACAGACCAGGATGATGAGATGAGTGAAAACTGCCCTTTTGAGGACTTGTTGACAGAGCTAGGATATTTGGCCTGGAGAAGACTTAGTAGGTACATGATACCTGCCTTCCAGTATTTGAAAATCTGTCATGTGGGTGAGGGATTAGCCTTGTTTTGCTTGCCCCAGAGAGTAGAACAAGGAGTGATCAGAGGATGCTGCAGAGAAGCAGATTTCAACTCAGTAGAAGGAAAAATTTAGTAACAATTAGAGCTGTTCAAAAGTAGAATGGGTTACTTTCAATAGAAGTCTTCCTTCAGGAGCTGAATGACCACTGGTCAGCAGTACTAGAGCCAGGATTCTTCTGCCAGGATGGGCTGTGTGAGGTGGTCTCTAATGTTTCTTCCAAAGACCTGCATTAACCACTCCTTCTCCCTCACTCAAAAAAAAAAAAACAACTGTCAGGGTAAGATAACCCCTTTAGAGGGTTTATTATGTTTCCTAAGGAATCAGATTGGAAAAGAGAAAGACTGGGAGTAGAGAGCTCAAGTAGTTTAGGTGAATGGTGATAAGGATCTGGATGAGGGTGGTGGTGTTGTGTATAGAAAGATGGGAGCAATTTGAGAGATTTTGTTGAAGCTACAAGATTGGGTTTGTGGGGTGATGGAGAGGGAAGTCAAGGATGACTCCCAAGGTCATAAACCTGGCTGAGTAGGAGGATAGTGATGAGACATAGGGAAATTTGGAAGAGGGGCTGGTATTGGGGGGGGGGGTGGGGGAGAGTGATGAAGATAGTTTTGTTTAGGACATGTTGAATTGAGATGCTCATGGGGTATCCAGGAGAAGGTGTGTGGCAGGTAATGGACCTGGTGTGAGATGAGAGTTCAGGGCTGAATTTATGGGCTTTGAGCCATCTGCTTAGTGATGAGCTCACTGAGGGAGAGTATAGAGAGGAGAAGACATAGGTGTGGGTCATGGCTCTGTTTTAACTAGCTAGATGTGTGGATTTGCACAAACAACTCCTGTTGCTGAGCCTTAAATTCCATCTTCCCCACCCCCCACCCCTCAGATCACAGAAATAGAGGTAATAACATTTGCCCTAGAATTATTACAACACAGAGATTTTATGATGATGACCCAATGAGTTAATGGAACTGAAAATGCTTGGTGGCCATAAATTCAATTCAATAAATGTGTATTAAGTGTCTCCTATGTGCAAGGCATTGTGCTCAGGGTTGGGGATACAGAAAAAAGTGCATTCTCTGCTTTTGGGGAACTTATATCTACTGGGGGTGGAATAGGACATGGGCATAAATAATTATAATTCAGAGTAGATTGTGATGGGTAAAGGAGTGATACAGGCAAAATCTGAGGAAGGCTGATAGCACACTTTCTGCTGAAGGATTGAGGTATGTATGATGCTTGCTGTGAGCCTTGAAGGAAAAGAATTTCAACAGGCAGAGATGAGGAAGGCGTGCTGAATGTGAGCTGCCCTCATCTCTATGGCATGACTCTATACAGACAAATCTCATTTTATTATGCTTTGCTTTATTGTGCTTTGCAAATATTGTGAAGTTTGTTTTTTTTTTAAAACAAATTGAAGGTTTGTGGCAATCCTGTGTTGAGCAGGTCTGTCAGTGCCATTTTTCCAACAGTAGGTGCTCACATCATGTCTCTGCTTCACATTTTAAGAACATATTTTCTAGGTCCTCCTGTCATGGATTTTAATTTTCCTTAAATAATTAGTATTAATACAGTTTTTTGAGGTTTATTTTTCATTAGTTTGTTTTCTTCTCCATTCCCTGACCCTGCATCCCCTTTTCTCCCTTCCATCTATTAAGTGGGAGAGCATGTTCTACCTGGAATACAGCTGCACAGAACAGTGCTTATCTTTGTTCTGTGCTAGAAGAGTAATAGTTTGTTTTGCAGTTCCATGAAGATCCCCACTTGATAGATCTGTGGACCATACAGAAAGTGGTGAGTATTCAAGGCTCAGCTCAGAGATCACTTCCTCTGTGAAGCCTTCCCTGAATCCCTCCAGTTATTAGTATTCTTTCCCTCTTCATGAATGAATATTTATTCTAAGTACATAAAGTATTTTTCTTATTTATAAGTAAATCAGAATATCTTTGCTATTGAATCATTTTTCATTTGTGTCCGACTCTTCATATCCCTATTTGGGATTTTCTTGGCAAAGATTTTCTTGGAGTGGTTTGCCATCTCCTTTTCCGGCTCATTTTACAGATCAGGAACTGCGGCAAAAAGGGTTAAGTGACTTGCCCAGGATCACATAGCTAGTGTCTGAGGTAAGATTTGAACTCATGAAGAAGAATCTTCCTGATTCTAAGCTCCCACACTCTATCCACCTTGTGTTCCTCCCTCATCTTGTGTCCCCAGTACCTAACATAGTCCATGTACCTAGGTTCTTAATAATTGTTGAATTGAAATGTTGATTTGGACAACAAAGCTATTGAAAGATAAGATAATCATAGACTGTTTGATCTGGAAGAGACCTTCTTATTAATGTCTTAATAATAAGACTAAGAAGAAGATCTCTTAAGGCCATAAGAGAATTTCTTAAGACCTTTTGGTCTTAAGAAATAAGACCATATTCCTCAGGATGTGGAATGTAAGAGCTGGATATAACCTGAGAGCAGAGAAGTTAGAAGGGACCATGAAGAATGTTAGAACATTGCTTATAGAATATTAGAGGTGAAAGTCACCTTAGAACATAGAATGTTAGACCTAGGCAGAATTTTATCATATAGAGTATTATAACACAGAACATGGAGTGTTAGGGCTGGAAGGGACCTTAAAATATGCTGGAGGCAGGAGAGACCTAAGGTATTATAGAATCCATCCTCCTCATTTCATGGAGTAGGAAATAGGTCCAGAGAGAGGTTGTGTAAGTTGCTCAAGGTCATTTACTTGGTTAGCAGCAGAGCTGGGACTGACACTCTAGTGTCTTGACTTCTAGTTCAGGGTCCTTTCCACCATGCTTTATTTTCCATACTCTGCCTTCCCACTGCTGGCTGAAGGAGGGTAGAAAAGAAGTCTTATTTTCAAGGAGGAATTTAGGTAACCAGAACTCAGGAAAGATGTGACTCTCTTGGACACCTCTTGGGCAGTCCCCTGGTTACTGACTACTCTGGTGGTTTTCCTGCATTGTCTGCAAATGGTGCCTCCTCTGGTAATGCACCAATTTGTCATATTAAGTCATTCAATAATAATTGAATCCCCTTGATTAATCTCCTAGAATTAGCCAGTTGCATTTTGAGCAATTAGGGTTAATTACTGCCTCATTTGGCAGGAGAGAGCCCCTGTAATTATTTCATGAACAAGATGAGGAAGTGTTCTGCTGCCACAGATACATTCGTGGCATCTTGTAGCACATGTTAGAATCGGTAATGCCATAGTTAGGTGTAATTAGTAACTATTACTCTGTATTCGCCTGTTACCCAGGCTCTGGGCTGCCGTGTTTCTCCATGTGGCTATTATTGGGTGAAAATTTCTCCAGGCCTGCCAGCATCTGTCCAGAGTTTAGTAATGAGTTCTGAGAGCAGGGCATTCTTTTTTCCTGGGGACAGTCCAGGGTAGGAATGGGAGAGGAAGGTAGTCACATGTTTGTTTTCTGCCTTGTATAAAGCCCCACTGTTTAAAAACAAAACACAACAAAACTGTTGAGGCATCATGAAGTCAAACAATGTTAGAACTAGAAGGGATGATAGAATCATAGGTTGTTAGAGCTAGGATGGACCTTAGAACAAATAACATTAGAAGTCAACCAGTTCAGCCTCATTTTACAGATGAGGAAACTGAGTCCCTTCACATTGACTTGCCTGAGGTCACTCAGCTAGTAATTGGCAGTGGCAGGATTAGAACATTACGTAGTAGAATACTGATGAATTGGGGAAAAGATATCCATATTGGTAGTTGTTTTTCATTCGGTTCTGGGAGTGTTCTTTTCTCTGCACCATACTGCCTTCACAAGATACTGATAGTGCTCAGGGAATTTAGTAGGGTCTGAATTTTAAGAACTTTGATTTTTGACAAATGAAGAGGCAACCTCATATGGTACAAAGAGCACAGACCCTGGAGTGAATCAGAAGAAATGGGTCCCTGCTATGATGTTTACTAGTTGTGTTATCATGGGGGAATTTCTTTAGCTTTCTGGGTCTCAGTTTCTTTATCTGTTAAATGGGGGTGATAATTCTGGGAGTAGCTACCTTATTGTGCTGTTATGAGGAAAGTGCTTTGTAAACTATAAAGCTCAATGGAAACAGGGGCTACTATATTCGTAAAGATGATCTGGGCAGCACATGGAGTGGGGGGATTTTGGTGGACACAAAATCATTTACAAAGATAAGACTTTGTAATCTGTTAAGGATTTCCCCTTCTGTAAAATGTCATATGTCTTTGAAGGTGAAATTAGTTTACAGTAAATGTCATTCTGATGAAATAGGCATTTTAAAATCAGAGAAACAGTTGCCTTAAGATTAATGATGCATTGCAGATATCAAGGAAAAAAGATCTCCATCCAGCGTAAAGATAATTAAAATTCAGGTCAGAAGTCTGACTCAGGCTAAATTTTTTAATGAGATTTCAGAAAACTAATTGGGTGAGTATATTATTTTCTTTTAAAATTTAATGTTATGCTCCTTCAAAAACTGAAAAGGTATTTATTCGTAACTACAGGTTATCGTGATTCAAGGATTTTTAACTCTGTTGAATCCACTGTAGGGGTGCATGTGTCTTTAGTCCAAGCTGATAGGAGAATGGACTTTTCAGCAGTGCAAGATGACGGGGAATCCTTGAATCCTTTTCTTACCCCAAGGCCAAAGAAGAGGTCCCCCAGAATCTGTCCCTAATTTGCCCAGGGAAGTCACAGAATGCTAATACTAGAGAAGACCTTTGAACAAATAAAGCTATAACTGAAAGGGACTTTAGAACCCAGAATGCTAGAAAATAGAACTTAAAATGTTAAAGTTGGAAGGGAACATTAGATTGTAGATAATTAGAGCATAAAACATAAAATGGCAGAGCTAAAAGGATTGTCAGAAGTCATCTACTGTAACCTCTCTCCCAATGTAGAAGCCCCTTCTAAGGCATTGTTATAAGATGTAGCTTCCCTGTCTCTGTGTTGAACATGTTGGTCTTCTGATCAGAAGCCTGCAGGAGGAAATAGTGACTTCTCCCCCTGCTTGAACACATCCATGGAGCCAGTCTGTTCTGTTGTTGCAAAGCTGGAAACGTTAAGACGTTCTTCCTCATCCTCAGCTCAAATATGCCAACCTAAAGGTTGATTTTCCCTCAGTTTGTTTGAAGTTTGGGTACAGAGTTGATAACTAGAGGCAAAACCCATCAGCCTCTGAATTGGCAGATTCAACCAGAAATTGCCAATTTTCCTTTTCTCTTTTTAGAGGTTACCTAGAGCAGCATTGTGAGGTATGGAAGGTATAAACTACAACATTAGTTCAGATTTCTTATCTCTTTTCCCACCAATCTGACCATAGTGGGCTCAAATCCATAGGAAGTTTCATCTCATAGAATCATACAGCTTTAAAGGTGTAAGGGATGTTAGAGGTTAATTAGTATAGTCCTTGACTGGTGGATTAATCCTCTGTATAACATCTTGGTCGCCTTTCTTTCTTTCTGAATCATAATTTCTCCTAGGAAAATAGGTTGTTGACTGTTCGAGTTGCCGCTTTTCCCATCTTTGCTGCTCACTCATCCTCTCCACCTCTGTAGCCCATGCAGCTGTCTGAATCAGAGCCAAGGACAAAGGGGTTACTTTAGTGACTGATGGAAAGTATCGGGCAGCATAAAGTCTTGCAGTTAGGTTTGTTAGGAAAAAAACAACAAAAAACCAAAAACAGAACTGTCCAAATAAATATAAGGAATACAAGGATATTACATCCTTGTAACTGTATCCTCAGCACTTATCACATTGCCTAGCATAGAGTAAGAGCTTAATAAATACTTTTTTCCTTCATTCTTAGTAGTGAATTCTCCTTCACTGAAAAGGATTAGATAGAGTTTGGGTGGCAGCTAAGGTCCGTTTTAACCATTTAATCCCATGATTCTGGGACTCTGCCTGAATGGGAGAAAGCCCCTGTTTTTAAAGCCAGAACAGTAATGTTTTCTTTTTCACTCTTGAACCTCTGAGTGTCTTAAGATCATAAAGCCGGAGCCTGAAGGAACATTGGAGGTCATCCGATTCAGCTCTCTCATTTTACAGATGAGGAAGACCCATCTGAGGTGACACTGAAAGTAGTGGAATTGGAACTCAGACTCAAGTCTTGTAACTCCTGGTTCAGTGTCTGGCTAATGTCTTTGAACAAACACTCCCCATTCTTTTCTGTGTAAAGGGTACTACTATGTAAAGGGCAGCTAGGTGGCACAGTGGGAAGACTCATCTTCCTGAGTTTAAATCCGGCCTCAGACACTTCCTGGCTGTGAGACCTTGGGCAAGCCACTTAACCCTGTTTGCCTCAGTGTTTTCATCTATAAAACGAACTAGAGAAGGAAGTAGCAAACCACTCCAATAACTTTGCTTGGAAAACCCCAAATGGGATCATGAAGAGGAGTTGGGCATGACTGAAAATGACCGAACAGCAACAACAAGGCTATGCCAGTCTTTAAAGTGCACTCATTCTCTATTAGCTATTCACAGGATACTACTCTGGGTTGGCTATGTGGGGGCACAGTTGTCCTCCCTTTTTATTTAGTAATTTGAAATCTCTGAGAAGGGATGTTTAGTTGGTTGAATACCAGAGTAAACAGATAATTTCGTGAGGAGAGGAGAAGTATATAGTTCTTCGGACTTGCAAGTGTATGGACTTTCAGAGAAATTTCTAGCTTAGTATAAAAATATAAATCCATCAATATGACTTCTCTAAATTCCAAAATATACTTCTTAACAGTAATAGCAGAGATTCATGAGCACTTTTGCCAATGTGGTGGAATTACATCACAAA